TATACGCCTTTCTATTTACATACAAAATGGATAAGGGTGGTGTTGTATTTGTAGGGTAGTTTTTTTTTTCACTTGCTTATCATCTGTTCTAGTGGAGGAGCATTTTTTCACAGTTCCCGTAATTTCTCGCATTTTTAAAAAATTGGTTTATTGCGTTACCTGACCAAGTTACTGTTAACTATACTTTTCTGTCCTATGACTTTTAGTTGAAGTATTTGTGTTATTTGGAGCGAACTTTTTGGATTTTCTTTTTTGCCTACTGTGTATAGCTGCATTTGATCGTTTGCTGGCCGTTTGTTGGCGATCAGTGAATATTTCTGGTCCTGAAACAAGAAATATTTTTTTGTTTGCTGCGCTTTTTTCACGTCCAAAGCCTTATTGATGTTTAAGATGGCTAATTTTTTTTTTTTTTTATTGTGTAATTTTCAACTGATATGAAAAGGAGTTTTTTGTTGTTGTTGTTGTAAAGAAATCATTTGTATAAACGTCAACTTTTGTGTGTAGTATGGGTTTAATAAATTTGATCTCAATAGCGAAATGTGAGGTAGCGAAGTCGAATTGTTTAGTTCAGTGAATTTTTGCGCTCATTTAACTTCTGCTCCAGGACACCATCTAAGAGCAGTGTGTAAAAGAGGTAAACGTTAATTTGTTGGTGTCTTCATACTCACGTTTTTTTCTCACTTTTTTTCTGACATGGTATGGTGGGGGTATTTTCTAATCTTATTGTTGATATAATTTTCATTTTTCTGCGGCTGTTTTTTGTGAACAAAAAAGTTGTTTTGTCGTTACTTCATAATTTGATTATCATTGCGTCTTACGCTTTCGATTGTAAACGTGTTTGTTTAACTTAACTGTGTTCACGGTACTTCACTTTATTGGGCATTGCGCTCTCAAAGGACCACTACTACTCTTTTTTAGCATTTAAACTGATCTATTGATCCTTTGGCCTTTTTCTATTGTTGCGACTGTACTAAATAAATATTGTTCAAAGATAATTTTTCTTTTGTGGTTGTTTTTGTTGTTTTGGAAATTTTTTACAAAAATTTGTTAAGCATACAGTTGATGTTAGCACGATCACTTGACTACACTTGACATTCCGTTTGATTAGTTTCAACAGTTTTTTGATCTGGTCATTCCTACGTCTTAAAATTATTATTATTTTGTTTTAATAATAAGTCATTATAATTCTGAACCTCATTTCAGAGCGCACTTCAACTTTCATCGCAGTGTGCTGTGCTGTGTGCGTGCGAGTGTGTGAGAGAGTGTGCGCGTGATACTTTGTGTGTTAATTCAAATAAGAGGTACAATAATGACGATGATGACAGTAGAAGCTCTTCAAAAAGCTGGTCAGAGTCTTCTTTCCAGCGAAAAAACTGATGTTCCTCTCTTGGATCAGGTAATTCCTTTTTCAATGCATTTACAAATTTCTGTATTCGCGTTTAGATTTGGTGGTTTAAAATATAAGAAAGTCAATTTTAGGTTGTTGAAGTGATGAATCGGTCGACAGGGGATACTCAGAAAATAGCGTCAGAAATATTGACTGAGCTTAAAGAGCAGGAGGGGTCTTGGATGCGGGTGGATGGGATACTAAAATTTAGTCAGCTAATTGAAACTAAGTATTATGCTCTTCAAATTTTGGAATCATTGGTTCAGACGCGGTGGAAAACTCTGCCTAGGGAACAGTGCGAAGGTACACCTTCGATTTTTTTTACAATGCACTTTGATCTTGAAGAAATTTATTGGTTTCTTATACTTTGCACCGGTAATTGAAAAGTTTGAAAAAGGTTTGATTTTATTGGTTTTGTTAACATTTTTAGGTATCAAAGGGTTTATTGTCGAGTTAGTGATAAAAATTAGTAGCGAGAGTCACATTGATCCGCAAGTAAAGACTTATTTGCAGAAGTTGAACCTTGTTCTTGTCCAGGTTTAAATTTTTTTTTAGTAGGGTCGTATGTACTGCTTTTTCCGTCTGAGTTTTTTACGCACGAGGTTGGTTTTCCAAAGTCGATGACATTTTTGATAAAAATTTCAGATTGTCAAGCAAGAATGGCCAAAACATTGGCCTACGTTTATGGCGGATATTGTTGGTTCCAGTAAAGTCAATGATAATCTTTGTCTGAACAATATGGTTGTGCTTCGGTTATTAAGGTGGGCAGCTTTTTGGTTTCTTTTTGTTTTTACTTTACAGTACATAATTTTAGTGAAGAAATCTTCGATTTTGATGGAGAAATGACGCAGGCCAAGGCTCATCACCTGAAGAAAACGTTTTGTGGTGAATTCCAAGCTGTATTTACATTATGTCATTCCGTCATGGTTATTTTTCTTTTATCTTTTTAAATTTATTATTTCGAGGGTCAGTTATAGCGTAAAGTCATCAAATTATTGTTGGGTTTGGCGGTACTTGCTAGTAAAGCCATCGTCTCACTATAATAAAATTCAAATGTTCTGGAGCAGTAAGCTTAGTTAAGGTTTGCAAATTATCGTCGTTTACTTGTTCTTGTTGTTGCAGGAGTCGTCACAAAACGCGGATCTTGTTGGTGCAACTTTGGAAACCTTGTATCGATTTCTTAGTTGGATTCCTGTAGGTTATATTTATGAGACGAATTTGATAGAATTGCTGACTCAGAAGGTTAGTTTTTCATGCTCGTTCGGATTATAAGTTTAGTCTTCTCTACACGATTGTATAAGATCATTGGGGATGTCTAAATTCTTAAATTTCGCAGTTTGTGTAGTATGATGTAAATTGTGTTGTATGGTATTTACAGTTTTTGGGAGTTCCAATGTTCCGTTGTGTAACGGTGCAATGCCTCACTGAAATTGCTTCATTGAACGTGTCTCAGATGGACCGTAGAGAGGCTTACATGGGGAAAGTGATTGATATGCTGAAGCTTTCTATGTTGCAGGTCTTTTGTGATTTGCCAGTGTAGCTTTTTTTTTATTTTTTTGCAATAAATTTTGTGAAACCTGTTGAATGTTCAGGTTGTGTCTATCATTGATCCTCGTGTTGATTTATGTGATGCATACAGAAGAGGAAGCGATGTGGATCAGAAGTTTATCGCCAGTTTAGCGCAATATCTTGGTAGTTTTTTGAAGGAGAATGCGACTATTATTGAAGTTCTGGATGATGATCCAGCACGTAGTGACTTGAAGAGTGCTCATCAAATGGTATGTTTTACGTTTAATAACAAAAATTTCTCTTGTTTTTTAAGCTTGATTTCATTTGGCAAGGTGGAAGTAATGTTGACGTCTTCACTACTATTTTTTTGTATTTTAGGCTTTGGAATATCTGTTGAAAATCAGTGTTGTTGAAGACACTGAGATATTTAAAGTGTGTTTGGATTATTGGAACTGGTTATGCGCTGAACTTTATCGTGAGTGTCCTTTCCAAGTCGAAAAGTCCATATTTAGTTCATTCTCCATGCACAATCGTGGCGACGCTCATCAAGATTCACCACGTAGGCCGCTGTATAATAAAGTCCTTTCTGATGTAAGCTATTTCAGTGTGGCATTAACGCAAACCTTGAATTTGAAAGAAGTAACTGTATGAAATAGTGAATGATTTTGTAGTCATCTGGCGGTATTTTCGACCATGGTCAATTTGAAATTTTTTTGAAATCACAGTTTATAATACTACGTGAAATTTCTGCATCGTCGCGTTACAGTGAGGAAAGTTTCAAACAGTTTCTTTGTCTTTTTCTTAGCAATATTAGGGAGAACAATTTAGCTTCGGTTAATAATGATCTCGCGTATGGCAAAACCAGAAGAAGTTCTCGTTGTTGAAAATGAACAGGGCGAAATAGTTAGGGAATTGATAAAGGATACGGATTCCATCACGCTTTACAAAACTATGAGGGAAACGCTTGGTTGGTTTTTCTGCTTCTATCAATTCCTTCACTTTTCTATAATTGAGGGAGGTTTGCTGATCTAGTCAGATTGCGGAGCGTTGGTTTAGTTACTGAATTCGTTTAATTACATTCTTAATGGTTTTGAGGATAAAGTTCTTTTGCATTTTTACAGTTATGGCACGTTGGTGCTTGGGAGAAAGAATCTAATGGAAATTGTGCTTTTCAGTTTACTTAACTCATTTGGACCCTCGAGACACAGAAACGAAAATGATAGAGAAGCTGCAGAATCAAGTGAATGGAGTGGAGTGGTCCTGGAAAAATCTCAATACTGTTAGTTTTTATGGATTTTTTTTATTTATTTGAAGTAGTTTAAGAACTTTTTTTATGCATTTTCTAGGTGGGGTGTATGAAAGTTTTTTCTGCCTTAGGGCTTGATTAAGGATCAGAGCTCGTTTTCAAGAGATGTCTTTACAAGAGGTTTTTTTATGGTTGAAATCTTAGTTAATTTCCTTTTCTTTTAATAGAGGTATTTCCAGTTATGTTGGGCTATTGGATCTATTAGTGGTGCTATGTTCGAAGAAGACGAAAAGCGTTTCTTGGTTCTAGTAATTAGAGGTATCTACAAGTTGTGTTCATTATTTACATTATTAATTTAATAGAGGAATCATCAATATGCTGGTAGGGGATCAAATTATTTTCAGATCTTTTGAATTTGTGCGAACAGAAAAGAGGGAAAGATAACAAGTCTGTGATTGCTTCGAACATCATGTATGTTGTTGGACAATATCCACGCTTTATGCGTGCCCACTGGAGGTTTTTAAAAACAGTTGTTAACAAATTATTCGAGTTCATGCATGAGACCCACGAGGGGGTTCAGGACATGGCTTGCGATACGTTCATAAAGGTTGCCCACAAATGCAAGAGGCATTTTGTTGTGGTCAGTCAATACTTTTTTATTTTGAAATCACTTTGTTTATTACAGTTTTCTGTTATCAGTTATGCAGTTTAATGGTAACATAAACTCAAATTTTTAGGTCCAACACATGGAAACTAGGCCATTTATCGATGATATTCTGTCAGAGTTGAGTTCTATAATTTGTGACCTCTCACCTCCACAGGTTCATGTTTTCTATGAAGCAGTTGGGTGCTTAATTTCTGCACAAAACGACCCAGCTATTCGCGAAAGTCTTATTGAGAGATTAATGCAGTTACCTAACTTCAGCTGGGAAGAAATCATTGCTCATGCCACAAAAGTTGGTTATAAATAATTTTTTTTTTTCTTATAAGCAGAAAGCAAGCAAGGGACTTTTTTGGTTGATTTTTGACGAATCTAGATTCGTTTTGCTTATGTCATTTGTTCTGCTAACATTTAATAGTTGTAGATATTATTACACGAGTACTGTAAACAGTTATTCTTATGAGGAATAAAATTAACAAGGAAATTTGGTATCATAATTCTTTTTTTTTATGCCAGAAATTTTTTTTGACGTTTCTTATTCTAATTTTAGTTTTTATTCTACATTTTGCAAAAAGGGATCAGAAGTAATTCGTCATTTAGGAAGCTTTTTGTTTGCCCTAAATCACGAATTGTTTCTTTTTTACTTTGCAGGATATGAATATAATGAAAGATCCGGAAGTGGTAAAAAATATAGTCAATGTTTTAAAAACAAATGTTGCTGCATGCCGGACGATCGGTGGACCGTTTATCCATCAAGTTTGTTATTATGCGTACTCATAGTTTTTCCTTCAGATTCTCGTAGTATTCTCATAGTATATTCTCATATTATCTTGGAATTGTTCTAAGTGTTGTTTAGTTGTCGAAAATATATCTGGATACTCTTAATGTTTATAAAGTCACTTCCGAGAATATTAGTGCGGCTGTTATGGAAAATGGTGAAGGAGCATTAAAACTACCTCTTTTAAAGAATATGCGTGCAATAAAACGTGAAATATTAACCTTAATATCAACTTGGGTTGCGAAAACAGATGACACTGTAGTATGTAGACTTGGTTTTATTTATGTTTCTTTTCACTTTACCAGGTTGTTTGAGACAGTTATAGCGATCACTTTTATCGGTATCGATCTTAACAAATGCTGGCTGATTTTAGGTTGTGTTGGAGAATTTTGTGCCACCTTTGTTTGATGCTGTTCTTTTTGATTACCAGAGGAATTGTCCAGCTGCTCGAGAACCCAAAGTGCTTTCCCTTTTGTCAATTATTGTTACACAGCTACATGTAAGCCTTTACTTTTGATCTTCTTTCCGTTTATTAGAAACTTTATTTGGTCAGTGCTTCAATTTTCAGTCAGCAATCAACCCGGAGGTGATTCGGATTTTGGATGCTGTATTTAGTTGCACCTTAGAAATGATCAATAAAGATATGGAGGAGTTTCCTGAGCACAGGTTCAACTTTTTCAAACTATTATATTCGCTTAATCATGAATGTTTTGAAGTATTTGTTAACCTTCCCGCAGAACTGTTTCGTTTGATTATCGACGCAGTTGTATGGGCCTTTAAACATTCGATGCGTAATGTTGCTGAACTTGGTGAGTGGCACATTTTTAAATAAATTGCAGTTTTTTATCATTTGGATAAATTCTTGTTTCCGGGTTTTGTACGAAAGTTGTTTTGCTTCAGGCTTGGACATTTTGAAGGATATGATAACTCAGTTTGCGAACTATCCTGATACTGCAAAAGCACAAGCATTTTACAAAGTTTTCTTTATGGAAATACTGATTCACGTGTTATCTGTTGTCGCTGATAGAAATCAAATTAAAATAGCTGGTTTGTTCTTTGTTTCTCATAATGTTCAGTGTTTGGGCTGATTTTAAACATTCATTAGATTAATAGTTTTTTAGCTTTTTTATTTTTATAGGTTTGAGTTATTATGCTGACATATTGTGCGCATTATTCTACACTGCCGAGTTCGCCATAACAGAACCGTTAAATCCACCTCAGCCAAACATGAATTTCATTTACGACCAGATTAGCGAAACATTTGCTCAAGCTTTTGAGAATTTGACTCAGTAAATTTTTAATTTTTTTCTTCTCTTTGTGTTTTCAGTTAACGGTTCTTTGATTTAACTTTTTTTTTACTGTTTTTTCGATACATTTTAGAGATCAGATTCGTGTTACCATCAAGGGCTTCTTTTCTTTCAACACTGAGCCAGCGAAAATGAAGGACCATCTCCGTGACTTCTTGGTGCAGATAAAGGTGGTTGTTTGGTCCCTGGTTTTTTATAAGAAGCATCTGTCTTCACTCCTTCGGCTTTTCTTTAAAGGTTATTAAAATTTTTGGGTTTCATTTCAGGAAAGAATCGGGGAGGACACATCTGACTTATTCATTGAAGAGCGAGAGCAGGAGATTCAAAATGTTCAGAACGCTAAAAATGCGGTTAGTGGGGTTTTGCTTCAAACTGAAATTACCGTTGACCAGTTATCTCTCGGTGTACTGTCAGTCGTATTTCGCTGCCGCAATATTTAATGTCTTTTTTGTGCCTGATTTTATGGTTTTTCCGGTTTTCTCACCGTTGAACAAGAATATTGGAGTAAATTGCTTCTGCTTTCATCTCCAGTTTTGTTAAATTCCCGCTGTAACATTTTTTTCGAAGCATTGGTTAATTAAGGGCTTACTTTTATAAGGTTTTAAATTTTGCTCATTATCTTTGACAACATGCTGTATCGTCTTCAATTGCACTTCCTACTTGCTAAAAAACAAATATCTCTGGGGGAGGTAGTGGACTTTTTGATTTTTGGAGTGTACTGTGGATGAAAGGTTATCCGCATTGTATTTTGCAACATAATTTTCTTATGTTTTTGATTCGTAGAAAACTTCTTGATCATTTTATTTTTTAGGTGCCTGGCATGTTGAACCCTCATGAAATCATCGACGATGTGATGAAATGATTCCAACAAGAGTGAAATGAATCACAGTTATGGATTTTATCTTTTTTCCTTTTTCTTTGATGTATGTACACGTCTGCATTCTTGGGCCCTAGAGTGTGCAACAAGTCTTTACACATCTAAGTTAGTCGTCCACGAGTGTAATTTTTTTCGAAAAATGTTATGCCATCGCAGTAACGGGTTACTGTACAGCAATGGGGAAGGTGATCCAAGCTTTACAGTAGTGAGGGGAAGTGGAGAATATGGTAGTTTCGTAAATTACTTCTGGATAGTTTTTCCAACATGGGATCCTTTTGCAGTAATTCATTAAGATGCCTTCTAAAACTTTCATGTCAGTTTTAATTTTTTCAATTTCGAGCTCAAAGTGGAAATGTTTTAATTGTGCTTCTCCTCTACTCGCATTATTACCAGTTTGTGCAGGATGTTGTCTGTTTGTCTACGTGTTTCCCGGCGCAGTTTGTGTCTCCATTGTTGGGTTTTGCATAACGACTTAAAAGATTTTTCAATTTCGAGAACACTTCCACGCATTATGCAGTTCCTTTTAGTACCGTCAGAATAGTGAGAGAATCTCTGTTTATATTTGAACATACGTGTCTGCTTTCGGTGAAAATTTGTAAATAAAATAAGTTTCAAAGGGTGCGGTTTTGCACCAGTGATATTTTATCAGGAACGCATCGTAGCATTTCCGGATATCGCCTCACTCGAAAAGTTTTCAGGTGCGCCAAGGCACTCAAGATTTGGCGTTTATATAATAGGACGGGCTGTGGTACCTACGTACGGTAAAAGCTGCTTTTTGCGGTGTGAGGTTAGAACTAAAGTCGCTTCAGAAAAGTGGATGAGCGGCCAAACCTGCTCGGCAGGTGTAGTCTACGTCCCCGGCCTACGACGCAGGTTATGAAAGTACTTTGAGATTTGCGGCCGAATGTTTTTTTGCAACAATGCTTCAAATAGTGGCAATTTTATCTCCATAAATGACTACTACAAAACTAAAACGTAAGGGAGGATTGTATTGACAAATATTTGTTTGGCACTTGAGGGTAGGAAAATCACTTCTCGGTAAGACACCTGTCTAAATGCTCATTTATGTCTTTACTTAACACTGACATGTTGCATGCGGGGCAGCTGACGTAACAAAAGTTCCCGATGTGCATTTCGGGCCTGACATTTACCACATAATCCGTGACAACCACATCGTCTGCAAAAAGCAGTCACTAGTAAACAAGCAATGCAGTTTTCTAAGCAGAACGAACAAACATTCTACAGACCAGTCATTTCCGACGCATCAGCCAAGAGTTATTATAAGATGAATTTCGCGTCAAGTAGGTGAACTAGTTTGATAGTGCTAACAAAAAAAGGAAATAAATATGAACAAAACGTACCGCAAGTATCACCATCGGAGTTTTTGCTAGATGGAGCCAAAGAGTTCTCAGTAAAATCTTTCCCTGAATTTCTCCGAAAATACTTGTCCAGAAGAGCCTGTGTCTTTTCAAACGAGTGTGTCAATAGCCTTCCCTTGGAAGTCCCAACTGAAGTTTGAACTACTAATTTTAAATTACTTGGTTTTCTGAAATGTATTTGTTCTCAAACCTAGAAGCTTCAAGAATCACTCATGATTTCTTCACCAAGTTAAACAAGAGTTCCATAAACATTGCAAAATACCAAAAAGTAGTGCTCCTAAAAAGCCTTAAATCAGGTTATATTGTTTCAAAGTAGAAAGAAACTAAACTACAAGAACCTATACCTTCTGATAATTTTTGGGTACCTAGAACGTGACCTTCTCCAGGAAAAACCGCCTTTTTATTGGCATTATGTGAAGTCAGTGATACTATTTTATTTCCAGCGCTCTCTTCCTTAATTGTACCATCCAAAGTCGCATTTTTTATATTCCGTTTCTTTCCTTTTTGGTAGCCCTCAGGCTCTTTTACCTTGATAAACTTTCCTGAAAAATCTTAAAATTAATAGGCTGGCAAGAAAAAATTAAACGAGTCTCAACAGTTACCTCCACACGTGTGCTCATGTTGTTTCCACCAAAAATCATAAGGGCCTGGCGCTCTGTTGGAAGCTCTTTTAACCCAACCAAAATAAGGACGGCGACTTCTGTAAGCTAGCTCATCATAGAAATTTGAAGGACGCCAACTGGCTTTCAAAGTTGGCTTTGATGCACTAATGAACATTATTTACTTTTTGATGCAGAGAAATAACAAAAAATTCTGACCCGCTTACTTTGCTCTTTCGTTTTTTATAACAAGACATTAAAATAGCCCTCACTATACTATTCTATACAAAAAAAATCTGGTTACCTGCAGGCACCATCGCACCTCCACCAATGCTGTTTATAGTTGGCAACCTCTGCAAAAAATGTATGATATATCGTTATATGAGTCCCTGCTTCCGAGTTAATTCGACGCATATGAAACTGGAAGTCGGGGCCATGACCATCCCTATCTCTAAACTGTTTAAGTATAGACAGTACAAAAGAGGCAAAACTGACATCAAATCCTCAGTGGAACATCAGCAATATACCAACCGATTCCGAACAGTTACAAATAGATAAGCATGAATCATTTCATGAAGTAACGTTTCCACCAAATCTTTTCGAGGTCGGAAAATTAATAATGGTTTACTAAGCCGAATTGAGCAGAGCCCACCTCGACCTTCGTAACTACATACACCGGCACAGCTGTAAATCAAATCTAGAATATTGTGAACTTGTGAAACAGCATGCAAGCCAACAATAATAGCTTTACTAATGAATAATTAATATTTAGTTATCAGAAGGTACCTAGTCATTCTATGACTCCATTTAACCTCACAGCCCGCCAAAGATCCCTTGAAAAACATATCGTTGTAAGACATGAACAGAGCGTGAACATCAGGGGTAGGGTCTAAAGTTTCCCAAATAGGATCTACCAAAGAACCGGTTGGAGTAGCGGCTGTATCAAATGATGGAAATTCAGCCTGCAAACTATAACTTATTCAACCCATCAGATAAGAACAGCAAACATCAAAACTTCTTTAGCTGCAAACGCTTATTGATGAATGACCAGCAAAACCTGATGAATTATCAAGCTTTCTCATCTCTGCCTAATAAGTTAGGGTGCCGGTATTGTCAAACCACTTAAACGCCAACTATAGTGAACTGCAGATTGACACGATTTAGATAAAAAAAAAAAAGATTGCAACACTCTGACATAAGACAGTGACATAGAGGAATCGCAGTCTTTTCAGTCCATTGACTATAGTTTTTCCTTTTTTAACAGTTGCTTAATGACATTGATATTGCTCCTGATTAACAATAACATTAATCTACAACAGTCTACTGTTTTAACAAAAATTAAATTATTTAGCACAGATTCTGTCAAGAAAATAAGCTCACGAATTATTTAAAAGATAACTGTGAAACGTGAAAGGACAAAAAATAAAATTAAAACGACTATACTCAAATATTTATTTGACGACCTTCGCTGGAAATCCTAAAAAATAAAAAGACAGGCAAAATTTGGTCGTAAGATGTGAAAGCTAGGTTTGCTTTGGGTTACACCTGAGACTAGCCGTAATCTTTATGATCATAAAGATGAAACAAACCTTATTCGACCTTCTACTGGTAGATGACATCACCTCATCACTTGGTGATGTTTCTTTCCTTTTTCGTACAATAACTCCATTGACAATGATACGGCTGGTTGCCATTGGAGAATTAATTCAAAGTCCTTATCGCAAACCAATTCATAACATAAATATATCAGTCAAAAACTGTACAGCAGATACTAAAACAAAGTAAAGTAACTTTTTTACTTTATTCATTGTTTTGACCAAATCTGTAGGTCCTTGCTTTCCATCTAAATAATGCAATATAACAGCAGGCCTATGCACGCAGAGAAGAATACTGCTTATGACTATTCAGTACAAAGGAAATTAAAAATGGAAAAGGAACGGAGTGTAGCTGATCAACTATATTACCCATTAGGTACTTCTATAGGCGCAAAATACTCATTACTTTCGTTGACGATGAGTTGCTTTTAAGGTTCTTTTCCTAGAATTTCTGAAGTTCTTCTATACATACTTTCCTAGGCAACGGGCATTTTCTTTTGAAAATGGCAAAAAGTATTTTCTTTTCCTGTTTATCAAGAATGTATAGTATGCGCAACTAATAACTATAAAAGTTCCGAAATACTTCCATATATTATTGATATATTTTGAGTCAATCAGATTTGAGAAAAACTTTCAAAAAAATTAATTTCGAAATTTTAATTGACAATTAACTTCCTCACCATACGCCATCACTTTTTCTAGCATTAATCTGCAGCGCTGACTTGTTGCGATGGCACAGAGCCATAATCAAAAAAACTGTCAGCTGTGAGGCTGCGGAATCATTGATCAGAGTTCTACCCTGTATTTGGTTCGCAAAATTTTGGGAGGGAAAATGCCTCGTTCTGGAGAGGTTCCAACGACTTTGGCTCAATGTCACCGTGTTATACGGAGGCACCTGTATATCAAGCCAGCAATCTCTGGAAAAGTGTGAAAACCTTTTTTGTCACGCGTGTATGATGCGTTACCAAGAGCGTTTTGTTTATTAGTGATTTATCCATTTTGTTTCTGTGTGCCTTTCTTTTTTCCTTCTTTATGCCGAGATTTTTGCAGAATTGTGAGAGTCTTCATTTTTAACAAACTTTCAACTTAATTACTGTAATAAGTCTTGCATGGAAACAGCTCTTATTTTTTTTTTGCTATAGAGGTCTACGCAGTCAAGAGTTGTGAAATGTAAATGTACAGAAGCTGAGAACTGTTATTAGGGAGATAAACTTTCCTAAAGTGATGGAGTAAGAAAATTGGCTTTCTAATAAGTATGAAAAAATTGAAAAATGATACTGAAGAAAAGTTAAAAAAGAGAACCGAGAAAAGGGAACAGAAATATTAATAGAAAATAAAGGCTTTAAATAATACATAGGTGTCTACATCTCATCTTTGCTAGACCTAGGTTCTTCTATCAATGTAAGTCGTATCTAAAATACACTCCGCAAGCGCTACCAAAAGAAAATTTTTTTTTATTACAAACAGTGATTGGTGCTGTAGCACTCAAGCGGCTGTTTGGTCTACAGTATAGAATAGAAGATTTTGAGCTTTCGAAAGTTATAGTAGGAGGAAGGCCTTGACCATCCTTCAATTAGGAGGTGTGTTGCTAGTCGCAAAATGCAGGAAAAAATGTTGGCTCAAATTTTAGTCAGGGCTCTTTT